ATGTTTCACGGTATCATTTTCAGGTCTTGATTGGTCAAAGAAATTTTCGGCAGGTTTGATACGCCAATGATTATTGGCATCGGCGTGCTTATAACCTGTGACTTGCTGACCTATAAATAAACATTGTTAGCGCGTCGTTTAAATTGTCCAGACAATGTAACCCAATGAAAAAAAAAAATATCAAATAAGAATACCGGCGCTACTGATACGTCCATCTTCATACCGGCGCGGATAACGGGCGGTATGAGAATGTAGAAATGCCTTAGTATCTTTGTGCTTCAGAGTAATAGTATCATTGTACCTTATTTCTGATTAAACGATCACATTAGAATCTTGGCACTTGAAGGAAGTGTGATAATTAATCAAGCAAGCAAGTTTACCTAAGCTTTGAAGGTTCACGGCGCTGTCCTTTAATGTTTCTTGGAATGACGGACTCATAAACGCATCTCCGGGGCCGCTCGTATTCAGTATAAGAAAATGAATATAAAACCAGAACAAATATATGGCAATCGGCACAACTATAAGACCAAGGGCACGTGCTAAAAAGTGTTTCCTAATATGGTCCTGTAAGATTAAAAAAATTTATAAACTATTATAGAAGAAAGAAAAAATCCTTGACACTCATAACTTACCATTGATAATCCACGTTTTATATCCAATAAGTTCCATAGATCATAGAGAACAGCATATCCTATGGTAAAAACTGTAAAAAGTCCAACCATCTTTACGCTAAATAAAAATTTTGCACGGTCAAATAACGATATAATAGAAGGACATAGTCACCAGATACTATTGAATATTTTACCTTAAAGTTAGACCAAGCGTAACCCCAGTAGCAACCAACCAATACCACCATTCGTTCGAAAATTCTCTAGAATATAAAATATAAATGTAATCAATGAATAAACAGTAAAAATAAATCGAAAATTATGCAAAATTCATACCTTAGACGATATTTATAGAACTTGATATAGCAGTAAATGGTGCACATCATAAAGAAAACAAGCATCGAGTCGAGAAGAATCAATCGCGTTTGGCAAACCAAAGCATTATCTGTATTTGTCAAACATATTAGGTAAATATATTATCACAAATAAAAAAATAGATCATGTGTAAAAAAACAATTGCTTGCCAAAAAGCACCAGTCCGGCGGCTAATATCGCGGTGATCATTGGGTATCCCGATTCTTTCATGATTAGATATGCAAGAGGAACGTATAATGCGCCTAGAGCGGCAGGCAATGATCGGAGTCCCACATAAGGAACATCATTTTCTATGTAGTCCATGCCGATTTTCTTGAAATCGAAATGACCGTCGTAACCCAGGATCCAACCCATGGCTGCAATCATTAATTTACCGAGGGGTGGATGAACATCAAAATAATAAGTTCTTTTGAGATAATAACTCGCAAACTTTCCAAAATGAACTTCGTCGAAACTGTAAAGTGAAATTGACAGAAAAATTTTATTAACATTATGTCGAAGCGATCTGGTGGCCGTGAATAAGAACAACTTACACAACTTCTTTCGGATGAGAAATCATATAAAAGCGTGTCGCGAAAGACAAAATGGTGAGGATTGTTAAAACTATAATGTTTTCATTTTTCGACACTCGAAAGAACTCCTACAAAAAACGTAAAAAAAAATTAGGTTAAACTTTGAAATCTTACAATTTGTTGATCATCTCAACAATTTAAAAACCTTCTTCTTATCGTCGAAATCGAAGTAAACATCCTTTTCTTGAAAATTGACGTTTTTTTCTTGCCTATTACGAATCGGCATTTTTTTTTTGAGTGTAAAAAAAGTTGAATTCGTAGTTTTCCAAATTTATTCTACATATTTATTTGTTCATCGAATTGATCTATATTATTGTTTGCTTTATTGTAACATCAAATAATACACGTGCATCGTCCTACTAGAAATCGTTCTTGGTAAATTCCAATGGATTAGTTGTCGCCAACTAAATCGTGCATTCTTATTGGCTAATTTATAACTTTCCAACTAACGATTTGTAACACTACTTCCAAG